CATCATAATAATACAGTCAGTAAATGCAAGTGTATATACACTGTACGTTGAACAACAAGAAGATGGACGGGGTTTTTCATTTTTAGCACTGGATTCGTCAAAGTTTCTATCCATCACCGTCACGAAGTCGGACCACCTCGAACCCGAAACCGTGTTACTCATCGGCCCTGTGGTTCTGCTTTTTTATGTCGCAATCCCCAAAAAGGTTCTGAACCGCCATTAGATCATCTTCCCCCTCGGCGATGCACTGACAGATTAGGGACTTGCGATTACCATCACGAAGTATGGCATGTAGCAGGAAGAACACCACACGCACTGGATCGACTCTTTCTCTCCCTCATCATGAGCAACGATAAATAATTCGTTGTAGTGAACATATCGGTGTAGAGGGATTTCATTTTACGTTTCTCGTGTGTATAGAGGGACCATCAGAGCACGACACAAAAGAAAAACCAATCTTGTCGTAAGAATGTAGCTGTGGATGCAATTTCCAAGGAGAAATTGAGAGAGCGCCAATATTCATTGAAATATGCATCGCAACGCAATAACGTTAAAAAAAATATTTCTTCGGGCATAAATGCAGCTAATCATTATTATGTTTTGCATTGTTTACGCATGAGTCACTCTGGAATCGACACCTATGGATAAAACTGGTGTAATTGAAGTACAGCTGGTATACTTATTTGTGTTTTTCCAAGTGTCCAGCTTATTTGAAATTCTTGAATCAATTCTATCCAACAGATGACCTCATGGAAAGAGCAGTATTATAGACAGCGCTTCACACCAATGTTTTTTTATTGCAAGCATATTAAAATGATTCATTTTTCGTTCCATGCATTCGGGTGAATTTATTTACAGGTGGACAAAAAAAATATTCTCAGTGACATCGAACATTTTTTTAAATTTTAATTTTGTATTCGTAAATGTTCTTTGCTTCCTGGATGATTACAGTAAGTATTACAGAGTAATTTTTTATTATTGTGTGTCAACTCTTGAAATGTGATTACAATCCGCAAGTCTTCTGATAAAAAATGTTTGCCAGCCAGATACAGCATACGCATATTATTAAGCCTATAAAATTTAAAAACTCAAATAATTAGTTCTACTCGAATTTCCTGGTCCTTTTTGCCGCGCCTTTTCCCCGTGAAGTGATTAATGCTTTAGAAAACGTATTTTTTTTATACCA